TATATATATATATATATATATATATAATGTCCATCTCATTCCACCATCCTTTCTATCACCATGTGCCCTCTTTACTTTCACTACCCTTTGTCCAAAGTTCCTCCTTTCTTTCCTGGTCTCTTTCCCCTAAATTATGAATCAGCATTTGTTTATCAGAGAAAACATTTTGCCTTTGTTTTTTGGGGTTTGGCTTATCCATTTACCTGCAAATGCCATAATTTCATTCTTCTTTAAGGTTGAGTAATATTCCATTGTGTACATATACCACATTTTTTAATCCATTCATCTGTTTCAGGGCATATTGGTTGGTTCCATAGTTTTACTTCTTTGAATTGAGCTGCTATAAATATTGACATGTATGCATCACTGTAGTACGCTGATTTTAAATCCTTTAGGTATAAACTGAGACGTCGGATAGCTGGTTTGACTGATGGTTCCATTCCAAGTTTTCTAAGGAATCTTAATACAGCTTTCCATAGTGATCGCACCAATATGCAGTCCCACCAGCAGGGTATGAGTGTACCTTTTCTCATAATCCTCGCCAACACTTATTGTTGCCTGTATTCTTGAGAATTACCATTCTGACTGAAAAGAGAGAAAATCTTAGAGTAGTTTTGATTTGCATTTCTCTAATTGCTAGAGATGTTGGACTTTTTGTATACATTTGTTGATCAATTGTATATTTTCTGTGAAGTGTCTGTTTAGTTTTTTAGCCTACTTATAAATTGGTGTATTTGTTCTTTTGATGTTAAGGTTTTTGAGTTGTTTATATATCCTGGAAATTAGTGCTCTATCTGATGTCTGTGTGGTAAAGATTTTCTCTCATTCTGTATGCACTCTCTTTACGTTATTGATTGCTGAGAAGAAGCGTTTTAGTTTGAATTCTTCCCATTTATTTGATTGTTGATTTTATTTCTTGTGCTTTAGGAGTATTATTAAGGTAGTCAGGTCTTAAGCCAACTTTATGAAGATTTGGGCCTACTTTTTCTTCTATTAAGCACAGGGTCTCTGGTCTAATTATTAGGTCTTTGATCCATTTTGAGTTGAGTTGGTGCAGGCTGAGAGATAGGGTTTTAATTTCATTTTGTCACTCATGGATTTCCAGGTTTCCCAGCACCATTTGTTGAAGAGACTATCTTTATTCCAATGTATGTTTTTGATGCCTTTGTCTAGTTTGAGATAACTGAATTTATATGGGTTTGTCTCTGTGTCTTGTATTTTGTACCATGGGTCTACATGTCTATTTTTGTGCCAATACCATGTTGTTGTTTTTATTGTAACTCTGTAGTATAATTTAATGTCTGATATTGTGATTCCTCCTCCTTTGCTCTTCATGCTTCAATAGTTTTTTGCACTGAAAAATATCATTGCAGAATGAATGATAGGGAAGACATTTATGTTAATGGAAGTGAAAAATCAGGTTTAGGAAATAATGTATACCATTTCATTGCATTAAAATCATTGGTGTATTTATATGCATATATGTATGTGTACAACATATGAACACACATATGAAAAGATAAAATAAGGACTTGAAATATGAAAGTCATTTTCACTGTAGGAACTAAGCCTAATGTTGGTGGGTGTATTTTGGGTCCAGAGCAAAATATAAAGGTTTTAAACCCTGACTTGAAATAATAAAAGAACAAAAAATTGTGAATAATGGAAAGTATTAATAATACTACTTGGCTCATATGCTCTTATACCAAGGTTATATGTATATTTGTCTGTATCTTAGTATACAATATCTCTAACAGAATAAAAGCAATTTATTTAGCTTCTTTTATGTTGGAGTAACATAAAATTAATCTTAAGGATTTTTATGTTTGTGTATATATATGTATGTTATTTGCCTTTTCTTACATAAATTTTATTTCTTCCTTTGTCTTCTCCATTAGTGCCTGTGTCTTTGAATATATTTAGAGGGATCCTTGGCATGATGTTCACAAAATGTTTCTAGTTTATTTTCAGGGCTTAGGATGCTTGTCAATTTCTTTTTTTAAAAAGAGAGAAGAGGTAGACAGAGATAGAGAGAGAGAGAACTTTTAATATTTATTATTTAGTTATCAGCGGGTACAACATCTTTGTTTGTATGTGGTGCTGAGGATCGAACCTGGGCCGCACGCATGCCAGGC